TTTCAAATTCATGAACATTTTTAAGTTCTATATTTTTTTTAAATTCATGGTCATTTTTAAAATTCATGCCCATTTTTTAAATAAGATTGCAATTTTCAAATTTAGGAGCATTTTAAAATGGAAGAACCAATTTATAAAATTTTGAACACTTTTTGAATTTTGAAGCATTCTTTGAAATCGAAATATTTCTCAAATTCATGATATTTGTTTTGAAATTTGGAACACTTTGTCAAGTTTGTGAACATTTTTCAAGTTTTTATGAACATTTTTCAAGTTAAAAAACCAAAAGGAGCAAGAAACCAGTGGCACCCACCCGACCAGCGCATGGCATGCGCGAGAGTGCGTGTTTGCCTTAAGCGAGCGTTACAGTGCATTTTGCAACTTGGCGCACACCACGCCCCTCCGCTCTGGGGCCGACGCATTTACTTCTTCTTTTTTCCTATTTTAAACCCCAAAAAAGTATGCACGACATGATTTGAACCAAGGTCCTCCCGGTTTAGTATCGAGCGCACTAACCAGGTAGGTCACCAGACCTGATGTGCGAGTTTCCTTTTTTTTATTTCTTAAAATGCAATGCGGAAAAAAAGTTGTTTCCTTTTTTTCTCTTTCTCTTTTTATTTTCTTAAATGCGTGAACATTTACAATTTCATGACCTTTTTTCTAAATCCATGATTTGTTTTCATTCTTTGAACTTTTTTTCCAAAATTGATGAACCTTTTTTTTCAAAACTGCTGAAGTTCTTTTTAAAATTGATGAACTTTTTTAAGTTTGTGAACTTTTCTTGAAAAATGATGAACTTTTCCTCAAAATCAAATGAATAGTTTCAAAATTTTGTGAACTTTCTATTTTGCAAACTTTTTCCATTTTTATGAACTTTTTCAAATTCGCCAACTTTTCCTCAAATGGATGAACTTTTTTTTTGTAAAATATTTAAACCTTTTCTGATGTCACAATTTTTTTTCAAAAGTATTTTCTACCAGACCAACAACACAAGAAAATGAAAAAAAACACTAGCGAGCGCCTGAGAGAGCGAAGCGAGCGACACAATACCTGGAGCGAGCAGGGGAGAGCTCCTCACTGGCGCCTTATGCGCCCGTAGAGGAAACCAGCGCCCGTGCGCCTGGCTACATTGGGCCGGCCCAACAACGAGCCGACGAGCTCGCGTACGTTGCGCGCTTCCCTTGCTTTCCCTGCTCGACCGTTTCTTCGTGGTTGACTGGTAGTGGTAGATCGTCAACCATTGGCCATTGACTTTTGAGATTTGTTTTTGAAATTTCAGAAAAAGAATTCGAAAATAAAATTCTCATGGATTCTAAAAAGTTCACTGATTTTCGAAAAAAAATCATCAAACTTATAAAAAGTTCATGAATTTGAAAAAAGTTCACCGATTTTCCAAAAAAGTTCATGACTTTGAAAAAAAGTTCATTGATTTTGTGAAAAAGTTAATAATATTTTGAAAAAGTTCATCAATCTTTAAAAAAATCGGTACTTTGAAAAAAAGTCATAAAATTTGAAAAAAGTTCATCTACTTTGAAGAAAAAAGTTCACAACTATAAAAAATTTCATCTACTTTCAAGAAAAAGTTCAGGAATTTCTTTCGCAGTGGTTTTTCACGAATTTTATAAAAGATGAAAAAAGGAACAAAAGGACAAACAACCGACAACGTAAACACACAAGGTTATTTGGTCTGGTGGTTGTGGCGGCGTACTTGTAGGAAGAGCGTTGCGGGTTCGAGCCCTGGCTCGAACAAACTTTTTGCAGAAACAGAAGGAAGTGGGATGGGCCGGCCCGTTATAAAACTATGCGTACATAAGGGGTGTGAGGGGTGTGCGCCCTATACCAAATGCACTACATCCAGCGCTTAAGGCGCTGAATAGGATTTGGCCGAGCAGGGGGGCAGGGAGCGAACTTGTTGTGTTGCTGCTCCCCGGCCCACTTGGGAACGCGTGAGCGCCGACGCTGAAGGAGCGGAATATGAGTCCTCTCATTTGGAAATCCACCGCCGGCAACAAAATACCCTACTACATCTACCAAAAAAATACCATTTCCTAGGGGCCACTTCTCGAACCTTTAGCCCATTGTGTTGAAGGCTTGGTTAACTATGAAGTTGAAACTCTTTGCGCCTAGGTTATCATGTCTGATAGTTAACCACCTTGCACAACACAGATGGTCAAACAATTCCTAGAGATCATATGCTCCATGATACGGGGTCACCTAGGCTATTAGATTTGAGATCCAATGGTCATTTTCAGAGATTTGAGGCATGCATGTAATTACTAGTTAGGTGACTCCAAGAGGTCCGTTTGTGGGAGCATTGCAGGAGACCGTTAGATCTCACATTTGATGGCCCGGATGCTGCCGTATCATGAGATCGTACTAGCTTCGGGAACTCCTGATATGCACTCTTTTCCCTCTTGCAAGCAGCCTTCAGATACGGCAGCTTGTCTCCTTGTTCAGTATTCATACTTCATATGAATCTTGTTGTGGTTGCAGAACGATATAAATCAAGACGGGCCAAAGCAGGCAGTTCGCTATGAAGTGATGTGGGATACCCATGAACAATTAAAACCAATCATTGATGATGCACGGAAGTTGAACAACCATGAATCGATGGTGCATGATGATCGGTTCCAGATGGCTAGACTAGCTTCTGATCTTCGATGCTGGAGCGGAGAGTCTTTCTGCAATGTTAGAAAGGAGATCAAGAATTTCCGAAGGGAGTTGGAATTTCAAAAATGCTGGTGACATGGACGAGATGCGGTGGCGGTGACGAGAACAGTGATGGGGCCACGAAGGGTGGCTCTACGACATGAGCGTGCACATTCCATGGGGGAATGACATGCCATTGAGAGATGCTCCAACACCTCCGCCACTAGCATCATGTAGTCCTCAAATAGATCCGCCGCTATCCCCACCAGGAAAATCGTTGATGAAGGTTCGCCATGGGAGGCAATATCTAATGGCCGCTTGCCATCCAACCATGCCGAGTCCCAGAAAGGCTTCTTGGCTCCATTGCCCACTTAAATGGTCGTGCAAGTATAAAAAAGCTTCATGTCAATCTCGTCGCATGGGTTTCCCGTACTAATCCACAACTTAGAGTTGTCGGTCCACTCTAACCAAAGTCATCGCAATCGCAGGACCCTTGCGAATTTATCCAGGTGCAACATATAGAGACCCCTAAAATGGGTCGGTCAACAAACAAATTTCCAATTTAACTTGCACTTGGCTTCGGAGGTCTTGTCACTAGGCGAACATAAAAAAGCACGCTCGATCTTGTAAACACTTCTTCCCCCAGAGGAGACGACAAGCAGGTGATGTAATAGATGGCATGAGAAGTAAGCACCGATTTGACTAGCGCAGTGCGAGAGGTAATGTCCCTCACCCTGCCAAGGGGGGAGTTTGACCGCAATTTTATCTTCCAGAGGTTGATGATGCATGCCTTTTAGTACTGAAAGCGGAAGCCCAAAATTATTGATCGGAAATGAAGTGCGCTTGGCGAAGAAGCTCTGAAGAATATCATTAAGATGGATACAATGGAGCTCTTGAGGAAGCTCGTGGTGAGGCCAATCACCTCTCCAAAGGAAACTCAAAATGGTAGCCAAATTTTATATGTCCTGCTTAATGGGGGCAACGAAGATAGCGGTGTCGTCCACGTAGAGCGATGTGCAGAAAGTGGAACCCCTCCCACCAATTTTGTGAAGTAGTCGTTGCTCAATGGCCACGTCAAAGAGAGGATCGATGGCCAACACAAAGAGCAGCGGGGATAGAAGACCCCCACTGCCGAAGGCCCCTGCTATGAAGAATGGGAGCGCCAGAGATCCTGTTGAGGACCGAGGAAGATTTGGATAACAGGGCAGCGACCCAATCCCTGAAACTAGGGAGGTGTTTGGTTCGGCTATCTGTAAGTAACCTGATAACGACGGGATCTGAATACGTTAGTTTCTGTTTGTTTCAACTTCTCCGTAATGAGATCCCGTGTAATCAGATTACATCGTTGTACAAATCTGATTCCGCCCACATCTGCCTGTTGTCTGTTCCCTCTTTCTCATGCGTTTTTCTGGCTGCTGTTCGATTCTTTTCTTGGGGGCTGGAAAAGCACGTCCACAGCGGCGGGCGAAGATTGGGATCTGGCTGGCGGTGCCTGAGATCGGCCCCAGCGGCGCGCGGATCGGGGACTGACCGGCGGCGCGCATCCTCAGCGGCGGCCGGCGGTGCTTGAGAACGGCGGCGCGCATGCTCAGGGCGGCCAGGCCGAGCAGGTCGTTGACGGGGAGAAGGGTGGCCGGCGAGCAACAGGGCATCGGGCAGAGATATTCCTCATGCATTGGAGCAATGGTATCCAATTCCTTTACCCCGCACGAACCAAACAAACTAGGAAGAAAATCATTACACCCCCTAAAACGTTGTGACCTGATTACGTTAACGTTAACATTCCTGTAGCCAAAGGCGTAAACTTTATTTAATCTCCGAACCAGACAACCAGTGTATCACGAAATGCGTCACTGATGGAAAATATTGATACGACGTGTATAATGTATAAACCCTAAATTGTGGCCGACCAAAGGAATGCCAAACAGAGCATCCATCGTTAAGTATCGCAAACCAGCCACAACAGTCCAGCGGTTCTTTTCAGTGGCCATCTCTGGTCACCTAGTGTCATGTTTAAAAAGGATCGACAAAATCCATTCGTCCAGACAATCAGTCATGAACTCATGTTCCCATCCAGCAAAAGACATCATCCACAGTTCTACTAGTAGTATGCATTATCCACATGAAAAAGGAGCTCAAATTGAAAGGCCCCTTGATCTCACCAGAACTATTTACAAAGGAGCCATGGAAAACTCAGTCTCATTTCCACCGCTGGATAATAAGAGACATCATAGTACAAGTAGTACAGTCGGTCTGTACACCAAACGAATCAACAGAATAAACCGAAAGAGGCAATCCGGATGAACCTATGGGATCGGACGAGGCTTAGCAGAGGCAGTCGGCTGGATCGATCAGCCTCGGGTGGTGACGCGGAGGGCGTGCGGCGGCGGCGGCGGCGCGAGCGGCGGGGCCACGAAGGGGAGGCTCCGCAGCATGAGCGTGCGCATCCGGCGGGGGAACGGCGCGCCGTCGAGCAGCTGCTCCAGCACCTCCGCCACCAGCATCGTGTAGTCCTCCAGCAGCTCGGCCACTATCCCCACCAGGAACATCGCCGATGATAACCTTCGCCTTCGCCTTGGCTTCGCGGTGCGGTAAGAAAAGGAATCGGTTTTCGCTAGCTCGGGATTTGTGTGTACTCTGGATGTGGTGTTGACTTGTTACCGTCCGAGAGCAGGCGTCCGCGGCTTTTTAAAGGGGTCGGGTTCCGTGGTGTCGTGTCCTGTGGGCAGTGGACGCTGGTTTTGGATGTGACGGGGTGGCGGCCCGCCTGTGGTATGCGCTAGAATCCGGCAGAAGGAACGGCTACGTTCCCGCGGCGATGGTGTGCTGCGGCGGAGAAACGACCCACATCAGCTGCTGCCGTGAACTTGCTCGATAGCCTAGCCGCCGTGTCTCGCGCAGCGGTTTCCAAAACCGTCAAACCGGCATCGCTCACTCGTAGGTGAATACGACGACCACCGCTGGAATTCTGACATGGGCTGTGGCTCACGATGTAAATGGGACGCTTGCTGGACATCGTCGGACTTGCCCACATCGGCACCACTTTTTTGTTTTTTCAAAACACACTACACATGCAAGCGATTATATATACGCGCATACATTCAACCTTATAAACTCACACGCACATTCTTTTCACTATAAGCAATTATTTTTTATATTGTGTATGTGGTGTTCATATACTATCACATATTCAGAAAGCAAATACGGAGTTGGACCATGGAATTAAGAGAGGATTGGAAGTGGCGTTGCGGTGCAGATGGTGGCAACAACACCCTAGCATAGGGCAGGGCAGTGACAACTGACTGGCAAAGGAGTTTGTAGCGACCAGGCCTCAAACAGTCCGATCTCTATGCATTAGTGTCATCCCTGGATCGATAATGCTGACACGCACAGTACTTAAAAGATTTATAACAGAGTAACAATCACACATTTATTACATCGAATGTCTCAAAAAAGAACTTACTATAATAAATATGGCTTAAGGCCATCTAAATACGATAACATCGGAAGACTTGGAAGATAAAGTGAGTCCATCAACTCCAGCGGCATCACTGAGTGAAAGATCACGACCTAAGGCACCTTACTCGTCGTCTGAAAAGTCTGCAACATGAACGTTGCAGCCCGAAACGGGCCAGCACATGGAATATGCTCGCAATGTAACACATAGAGTAATGAAGAGAATAAATACTATCACTACATGCATATTTGGCTGATGGAAAGCTCTATGGTTACAGTTTTGCATAAAGCCAATTTTTCCCTACAACAAAGGAATAAATTTTATTTAACTATCATGGTGGTTATTAAACATTGAGGAGGTTCATCCAACTCAATCCCAATTAAGCATCATCATTAAACCCAATCAAATTATATTAAGAGTGATGAGATCCACATGATAATCCAAGAACTAGATATTCAAAACGTCCATAACCGGGGACACGTCTAACCATGATTATTTTGTACACTCTGCAGAGGTTTGCGTACTTTTCCCCATAAGACTCGAATACATCCATGGTCGGAGAAACGAGACACAATCTTTCTGAAACAATAACTCTTTATTCTGGGTGGACAGTTACACATACTTTCTGTCACATCCCTAGCTTCTGGTTTGCTCTGAGCTAGCTAGTCATGTGTTGCATCATGTTTAAATTTCAGTTAAACCTGAAATGGGAATTGTTTAAACCCTAGCACCAAATGAATTCAAATAGGCTCAAATAAAATCATTTTCAATAAACCCAAAATGCCTTTGAAAATGTTCATGATTCTGATAAAGGTGAAAACCTCTGCCAACGATGATGAACATATTTATAGGTCATTTCTGGATTTTTGAATTAACTCATATTGTATTTGAATTGGGGCATTTAAATCTTATAAATATTTTTAAATGCTCTAATAATTCTGAAACTAGTTGAGGGCTGTTGAAAATAATTTCAACAGTGCCACAAATATTTTCAGGATTTTTAATAATGCTCTGGCATTTTTAATAAGGCCAAAACAATTGTAGAAAATAGAAAATGGAATTAAAAGAGAGAGAGAGAGGGAATCTTACCTGGTGCTCACCTCGCAGCCCACCTGGCCCAACTCCAGCGGCCCAGCCCATCACCGCCTCCTCCCTGTCGTCTTCCTCCCTCGCCAGAAGGACGGAGGCGCGTGGCCGCCCCGCGCCGGCCACCTCCTCCCTCCCTGTCTTCCTGGCTTCCCCCCCCGGTGCTCCTAGATGACGCCACGGAGCGCCCCGCACCCCACCTGGACGATCTCACTCTCTCCCGTGCTTCCCCTCCCTCTGCTCTCTCTCCCTCTCGCACCTGAGCACCGCCGTCGCCACCGACGAGCACCGTCGTGGCCACAGCCACTGCCTCGCCTCGTCGTTGCGCCCAGAGGCTCCGCCTCGACCCCCTCTTCCTCTCCACCGAGCCACGAGGTCCCGGACGCGCTGAAACGCCGCCACCATCGCCGTTTCCGTCGCCGGCCACCGAAGCTCATCGCCGCCGATTCGGGAGCTACCGGACGTCCCCGACCTCGCCCCCGCGCTCCTTGAACTCGCTGTGAGCACCTGCATCTAACCCCCCTAACCCCGCTGCCTCTTGCTCGCCGTAGCCGTCGCCCCCTTGCTGCCCGCAGCATGCCACCGGCCGAGCTCGCCGTCAACGCAGCTCCGGTGACCATTTGGTCACCCCGGCGACTCCAACACGCTCATAGCACCCCGTAGAGCAGCCCCAGCGCATCAGATGGCTCGCTTGCGAGCTGCAACACCGATCCCGCGACCACCCGAACTCCGGCCGCCGCCTTGGAGCTCGCCGTCGTCGGCTCCAGCCACCATAGGTCCGCCCACCACCACCACTCGACGCGCGCCAACGAGAGCTCTCCAACGAGCCCAAGAACGGCCTCGTCCGTGCCCTGTGGGCATTTTCCGAGCCGCGCCACCGTCTCAGGCCTCGCCGGCGTCGAGTCGCCGGTGGGTTTGACCCACTTTGATCACGTCTGGGCCCCCCTGTGTCGATGACATGTGGGGCCGGCCTCTGACTAGAGTTAGTTTAGTTAGTGCTAATTACCACTGTTAGAGGTTAATCACCCCGCTAACTAAACTTTGTATCACTGACATGTGGGCCCACGCCCACTGACACTTTTAGTTAGGATTAAATTAGCACTAATAGTCTCTTTTAATTAGTCTAGTCTCTGACCAGTGGGTCCCAGCGTCAGGTTTGACCTGGACCAGCCCCGTTGACCACTGACGTCACCCTGACGCGATGCTGACGCATTAATTCAATTATTGGAATTATTCTTATTCAGGAAATTCCAGAAAATATCCCAAACTTCTAAAATTCATAGAAATTCAACCGTAACTCCAAATCAAATAATTTATATATGAAAAATTATCAGAAAAATCCAAAGAATCTGTTTATGGCATTTTCATGCATATTAGAACAACTTATGGCTACTGTTTAGGACAAATCATTGAATAGCATTTAAATAACCACATGTGGAGTTTGAATTTGAACCTAGGGTTCAAACCAACTTCGTTTAACTTGCTGCTAGTTGCATTAGCTCAAACCACAGCATATTGCCATGTCATGATCATGCATCATATTGTTGCATTGCATTGATTGTGTTCTTCCTTGTTTGCCGGTAATTGTCCCCTCTCGATAGACGTGTACCGACGATGTGATCGATGACACCGATGAAGAACTATACTATCTTCAGAAGTGCCAGGCAAGCAAAACCCCCTTGTTCATTCCGATAAAATCCCACTCTCTCGCTCTTGCTCTCTTTTACTGCATTAGGACAACAACGATTCAGCTGTTACTTGCTGCGGTAGCTGAACCCCTTTATCCTTTGCATGACCTGTCATTGCCACAATAATGAAACCCACTAGCATGAGTAGGAGTTGTTTGAGCCCTGATGTGCCTACTCATTCATGCTTGTTTGTCATGACTGCTACTGCTTAGAGTTGAGTTAGGTCTGATTCATCGGGAATGAATCGGAGGTGTGTGAACATGTCCTACCGTTGAGAGCTAAGTGTGTGAACACGATTTGGTAAAGGTAGCGGTGAGAGGCCATGTAGGAGTACATGGTGGGTTGTCTCATTGCAGCCGTCCTCAGGAACTGAGTTCTATGTTTGTGATCCATAAACAGTTACTACCACACATTGGGTTCCGATAACTCGACCCCTCTCGACTTATTAATCAACATGATCTCTGTCCAGGAGTTGCAACTAGTTTCTGGTGTTTGTAGGTAGTGTTAGTAGTCTACCAAGTGGCACCCGGTACAGGTGGGCTTGGGACAGACTAGGCACAGTGGCACGGTGTACCAAGTGGCACCCGGATGGTGGGCTTGGGAACCCTGCTCACATCGTTTGGGGCCGTGAGCGATACCCCGGCCGGATCTCCTTGCGGATGGAACCCGAATAGGCGATAAACCTGGACGAGAGACTTGGGTGGTTAGTCAGGTCGTGGCCGACACCCTCGCTGGGCTTCCGCTTGAAGGTTGCCGAGTACATGTCATGTAAACGACGGTAAGTGGTGAGAGCGTGTGTGAAGAAGTACACCCCTGCAGGGTTATCATTATCTATTCGAATAGCCGGATTCCTCGGATATGGAAACTTGGACCCCTTGCATAGTTCATAGACAAGTGAAAGTGGATACTCTAAAATGCGCAAGATAAGTGTGAGTGCTATGGATGGCGTTCTCGTAGGGAGACGGGAGCGGATCCATAGTGGTGTGTTGATATGGTGAATATGTGGACTCGTGTGCGCCACCTCAAAAGAGTTACTTGCAGTCGTAGTTCAGGTTAGCCACCGAGTCAAAGCTGGCTTGCTGCAGTTAAACTCCACCACCCCCTTTGTTGATAATGATGCATATGTAGTTAGTTCTGATGTAAGTCTTGCTGGGTACATTTGTACTCACGTTTGCCTATTTTACGTTTTTGCAGAGAGACTTCAGTCTCGCTAGTAGTACTGCGTGGACTTCGATGTTTAACTTGTTACCTCAGCTACGATCTTGTGCCCTCGGCAGGATCTAGTAGATAGTCAGGCTTCTCAGCCTTTTTCATTTGT